AATTTGTGCAAAAATACCTAAAGAACAATCTCAGAAAAAATCAGCAAGATTGCTTAAATACTTTTGGAGGTTTTAGGATTTAGGTAACGGCCGGAAACCAAAATACGGTTTTTGAGAAAACGCCATTTAAAGTTAGTTAACTATAGCACAAGCGTTTTCTAATATACCTGCCAAAAGCCAACACATATCACTGTGGGAATGTTAAAATGTCACTTTCATTGTCTTTTGCTGATGAAATGTGCCAATGGGGCATCATCACTCTCCTCGGAATCACTGTCCTCGGAATCATTGTCCGCCAAAAGTCTAGTGGATAGTCATCATCATCAGATGATGATGTAGCATAATCAAGAGGGTCAACATCGTTGAAATTGGCATATGAGGATTCACCTTTCTATTGGTTTGCTGCAAGCTTGGCTTCTCTGATTTTCCTCCTTCTTTCCTTTTTCTTCAACTTTGCCTTCTTTACAGAGTGCCTCATCCTTGTCGCATTTTTCTTCTTGCAGCCTTCCAGGGTGAACTCACCACCAGGGATGTTTGCAGCCTTCATGACATCCTGTCGTGATGCAACACCACAATTGAAGGCCAGCACAGCTGACATAGCAGCAATTTCAATAACTCGAGGCCCTTTAAATCGGTGTTTAGGGGCATGGTTCCACACAAGACTGTTCAAGCTCTCGTTGACATTCTGCGAATAACCGGGAAGGCAACGAAGCAAAAGAGAATACTGACTCACACGCTTGAATTCAGGGACCAGAAACTCCAAGAAAACTGCGTCTAAATGATGGTCCTTTCTCTGAAGTTTTCCTTCTCTTTTATGAGAGCACCAACTATCTGGTCCCGATGGACAAAATTTGTGTCTCTCTTTGTCATCAATAAGTTCACATGAATGGTATAGAACTGCCATTTTAGCCTGTTGCATGATGGATATTTGCTCCTTTTGATGTTGTGCAGTTAGCTTCCCAGGTTTGACATTTGCTCTGATTGCATTGGCATAGTATGTCTGGAGCTTATCTATCACTTTGTCTGTCAGTCGATGTTTGCTCCCCTTCACCGATTTCCCATCCTTCGGCTTGGTTACTTTCTTCCTCAGTTCCCGCGAATGAGTTCCCATTCTTTTCTGTACATGCCCAACACAATCCAACTTTGTCACCCGGAAACAATCGGCCTTCTCACTCTCATGACTTTCCTTCCATTCTACATAACCCTTAGATTCATACCATTTCTTATACTCAGCTGAACGTTTGTCGGTGTTTTCCCATTTCTCACAATCAGCACAGCAACCATATGTATTCTAGCCTGCGTAGCAGGCGTTTAGCTGACGGGCGGGTACAGAGGAAACGCCTGCCCAATTTGGCTATGACAAATTTGTTTTCGCCCATTAAGGATGATTGACGTTTTGTAATTAGCACCTTCACCCATTATCCAATCATAGTCCAAATCTCTATCACATATCAAGGATACGACACGTTTATGATTTTTCTTTGTGTTTTCCTCATGAATTATTAATGAGTTTTTGAAGCTATTTTAGACAATAGTCAGTCACAACGTGCACAGAGCTTTTATCTTTTAAAAGACTCCTGAACCACGGTTGTTTAACGTATTCTGCCGTATAGCAAATATAACAGTTGAGCATGTTTTGAAATGTTATTCTTAAAATCATCATTCAACTCCATAGCTGCAATGCCAAGTGATATAGCCTCAACTATCTGGTCTTGAATTATACTTTAAAGTGAACAAATAACAAGACAACTATATTAAAGAAATATTCAGGATATATTTAAAATGTATAATTGAAGTTAGTGGGGAAAAGGAAGAACAAGCATGGCAGTGGTTTACACAGTTTATTAGACAAGAAGGGTCGTGTAAAGGTAAGCGATTAAGATCATCTCAATTTTGGAACGTATTACTCAAGAGAATGAAGAGACCATATATTGAAAAATATTAAAAAAGTTATACATATAGATTTGTATTGAGGCAAATCTATATAAACTTGATGCAGTATGTTATCCAATTCCATTGTCTTTCAACCACAATTTAACTCATCAAGTGGCAATGCGCCCCGCTTTATTATTTTACTCTGTCTAACGCCAGACAATTTTATTCTTCAGTGGAAGAGTGCTGCCACTCAATGAGTTAATCCAACTGTATACAAAGGTATATTAAGTGTAATATTAGTGTGACATCCTACCTATATCCCATCTGTTTAGACGAGAACACTGGCTATACGTTGGCGACTTCACTGATATTCTTTATGACAGGATCAATGCTGTTTGACCCGCAAGATGACTTACAAGTCATGTTCGCCAATGACCCAAAGAAACCACTACTTGAAGGCGACAGTTGTTTCAATCGAGTTACCATCTCAACAACACATGAGACATATGAAAAATTTGCAAAAGCTTGCATGTCATCTATAACCCTGGGTTCTCAAGGTTATGGCAGGTTTTAGAAATGTAGCAAACTGTACTACACATTATTGAGTTTCGTTATCATGATAAACTAAGACGTTTCCACTTTTCAGATTTATATTTTTGATAAATTTACAACAAGACAATTATATGTGCAATGTTCTGTGCATATTCCACATTTTGCTGTAGATTTAAATTTGTTAAAGAATAAAGTTGATTGATTACTGCATTAAGTTTCTGCAGTAAGATTTGGTAACAATTTCTCCTAATGTACTGTAGCTGGTATTAATGAATGTAGACCATACTTTTGCTGTATTAATCTATCTTCAAATTCCTGGTAACCCATTAATGAGTGGCAACGCAGCTTCTTTCAGTATGTAGTTTACTCTGTTCAAGACCAGATTCTCAATGGAATTAGAATTTTAATGGTTAATATATGTGTTTTGATTAAAGATTGATGTCAGTCAATGGGTTAATATATATATATATATATATATATATATATATATATATATATATATATATATATATATATATATATATATATATATATATAATATATATATATATATATATATATATATATATAGCTTAAGATTTTGGTTTACGAAACACAAACAGTGCTCAATACCATATAGATAGAGCGTAATATAGTTTTTCGTTTTACCTCAAAAAACCACAACAGTCTGTTTCATCCGTATAGGAATCATCAGATGATTCCTATACGGATGAAACAGACTGTTGTGGTTTTTTGAGGTAAAACGAAAAACTATATATATATATATATATATATATATATATATATATATATATATATATATATATATATATATATATATATATATATATATATATATATATATATATATATATATATATATATATATATATATATATATATATGTATAATGTGGTTTGAAGAAAGATCTGTACATATATATTGCCAGGTAATTGAGGGTTGTGAACCGGATTTTCAGTTCAGAAACAATTGCCAGCATATTCCCCCACCCCAAAATAGAAAAGAATAATATTGTTCAAAAGGTAGCAACATTTTCAACAATCTCTGAGCATTTTTTGTCGTCTGAATCAACAATAGCTTTTGTATGAAGCAATCAAAACATTAATACAGTATAGCATGTTTAATAGTTAGGATAGTCACTGTGCAGCCTCAGTATTCATAGTTTAATACAAATTCAAGTACATTTTCATATAGCCCTACACCAAAGTTCTCTTAGGGCTCTCTCACATCAATAATGTGCCTCAATTCTTCATTAAAGAATTCATCTGTGAATGGTTGTATAACATTAGGAACAATGATGCCTTGTCCTTCCGTTTCTTCTAAAGTTCCCCACTCTTGTGAAGGTGCTGGTCCATTCCAGTCTATGCCATATCTTTCAAGCTCTTCCTGTAGTGGTTAATATTAATTATTAGTATTTTTGCGCAAGTGAACATAACAAATCCTACACGTTGATTGGTCAAATTTGACGTAATAAGCTGTTATATTCACCTACAGGTGAATATGAACAAAACAGAAATTTTCAAAATGGCAGAAATAAGCAAAATTAAAATAAATTCAGTCTCAAAAAAAACACGAAAGCTTGTGTAAAAATACTAAAACAATTATTCGCCTCAGGCTCGGTGATTATCGGGGAATATTCACCTCGACTTCGTCTCGGCGAATATTCCCCGATAATCACCTCACCTTCAGTGAATAATTGTTAAATGTAACATAATGAATGTGTTTTTCCTACACAAAGGGTCTGTTCTGATTTACGGCCATTCTTACCTCCGTTGTTGGTTCCCAAAATTCTCTTGCTACCCTGTGATTGCTGTTTGCCATGTCAAACACGCCCCTAACCCATAATTGCAGAGGTGTCTTATTACATTCAGTTGAAAGTTTATGATTGTTCCATCCGTTAACAAAGTCAAAGAGATGTTGTCTGATGAGCGGAATATATACCACATGAAGGCAGAACAGGTGAATTTCGTTTGATTCATCAAGAATGTTAATGTCCTCCAAGTACCTGAAGAGCCAGTAGTATTTAAATGTAACTGCATAGTACACATCTCTCTACAACCTCTCTATGCGCTGGTTGTGAACACTTCTACCTGTAATATGACTGCCTCTATTTACACCCCTCTCAGGATGATCAAGCACATATCTTGCAATGTCTACATTCTCTACCCCTTGGTCAGTCCTAACACGACTTGGGAGACCAAACTGATGGACAGCTCCACGAAAGTCTGCACATGCAGTATCAGCGCGGTTGTTATCATGGCAGTTAAGGTGAGTTATAGCACGTGAAAAACCATCAATGCTACCATGGATGACCAACCTCCACCTAAAATTATATGAGTGCATGCCAGATTCAATGCATGTGTTTATTATAGAGGAGGTACAAAATACTACAATAGGTTACTTACAATCATGAAGCTTACCTAATCAATTTGTGATTAGTGTCGATATGCAATAATGCATTAGGCCCATAGACTTTATATTCTCGTCGATTAATGGTTTTCAGTTGTAAGGATCGCATTATTACACCCTCAACATCTACACGTCGGAGACTTTCCATAACCCGGATCTCTTGAATCCGAAATCCTCTTGAACGTAAAAGTCCGAGAACCATTCTATATCCACTTTGTACAAAATTTCGCTTGATATCTTTGACAACTTCATCAAGTTGCTCATCAGATAGTGGGGTACGACAGACCGATGTAGAAAGTTCAAAATCTTGCAACCTTCTTCGAACTGTGGCCACGCTTACTCCAAGTAAAGTAGCAATTTCGCCCGCCTTAAAACCGTAGTCAATGAAATATTCTATTTGTTCTCTGGTTATATTGTAACTAGGTCGTCCACGGTTTCCAGTAAATATTTTTCAGGTTGACTATGTGTTCCATTGATTGTGTCGCATGCACTGCTCAGCAGATATTGTGCTTCTGAAATACATGCAAATAACCTGCCCTCGACGTTAAATAACTGAGAACTTAACGTTAAAATATTATGGACTCTTTCAAGTCTAGTAGATATGTAATCCAACACATATTGTCGTAAATTATCGGAGGTTAGCTGGCGTTTTAATTCCTCCAATATTGTACAAATGCGTTCTTTAATAATTGTAACATCATGTTCCTGATTCTCCGCCATTTTGAATTGCGAGTGAAGTAAATTTTCGCGCCTGATCAGCGGTAGTTTTTCTTAACTTTATGCGCAGGAGTAGACACTGAAACATTGAGTGTGCAACATTGAACGATTGTGTGCGAACTGAAACATTGAGTGTGCAAACTGAAACATTGAGTGTGCGAACTGAAACATTGAGTGTGCGAACTGAAATATTGAGTGCGCGAACTGAAATATTGTGTGTGCGAAATGAAACATTGAGTGTGCAACCAAACATTGAATGTGCGATCAGACATGCAACGATAATAAAATATACTTGCACACCCAATAATAATTATGATACAAAAACAGCTTCATATCAGACGTCCATGTTTATAAACAGTCGCATGGCTACCATCGAAAAATATCGTTATGTTTCGGTATATTCCGGGATAAATGTCGTGATATTCCGCCATATTCCGCCATATTCCGCCATATTCCGTGATATTCCACCATATTCCGGTATATTCCGGCATATTCCAGCATATTCCGGCATTGCGGGTTCTCACAACGCCCCTTTTGGATCGTCATTTCCGGATAGTGCATGTAAAGAGCGAGATCTACTAATTCATAAAACTAGTTTTCTAGTTTCATGAAAATAGTTTTCGTATCTCTGAGGATGGTTCTGAAATTAATAGAGATCTACTAACCCGACTGTCAATTGAGCGGCAATGAAAATACATGGCTTAGTGTACAATTTGCATGTGTAGTACATGGGAGTTGGTTCGGAATATATTGCTTAAAAAATGGTATGAATTAGGCAACATATTATTATTATTATTATTATTAAAATTAATGGTTTCTCCCAAAAGGGTTTTTCAGAACCCGTTTACAAAATTATTTTATAAAACTACAATTTTAAAATATTTACAGTTTCTACAAAGTTAGGAATAAAAATGACTGATATCTAAGTTTTTAATAGTCTAAAATAGGAAGTAGTCTATAGTCTAAGTAGACAGTAAGTGTTCTTTAAGTTGCCTTTTGAATGTCTTAAGTGATGTACATTTCTTTAGCTCAGTGTCTAAGTTATTCCAAATTGAAGCTCCTCTAAAAGCAAATGACCGTTGCCCTGCCGCTGTTTTAAACAATGGTATCTGTATTGAGTTGCAGTTCCGCGTAGACCGATTATGAATACAAGATCGTTTCTCAAACATGTCACAAAGATATTTCGGCGCTAAGTTGTTCATGCATGTAAAAGTCATTACGGCATCACGGAAATAGAGTAATTTGTCAACTGTGAGCCACTCAAGATTTTGGAGTAATGGGCTTACATGATCGTATTTCTTGGATCCTGTGATTATTTTACATGCAAAGTTTTGAATAGATTGAAGTTTCTTTATATTAGTGCATGTTGTATTTGACCATACAGTGGAACAGTAGAGCAGTTTACTGATCACTAATGAAGTGATTATCATTGTAAGTGTCCCCTTGTCAAAATTATTTTTAACTCTGTTTATCTGGCACAGTTTATAAAGGCAGGACGACACTAGATTCGATATGTGCTTATCGTAACTTAGGTGACTGTCCATTAGAAGTCCTAGATCTTTGGCAAAATCAACAGGTTCTAGAATCTTCCCCATAAAAGAGATCGAAATATTGACATCAAGTTCGTCATCAGCTGCCTGGTTCCAATGATCATGAATTTTGTTTTATCTGGATTCACCAAAAGATTGTTTTCACAGCACCAAGACGCAATTTTATGTAGGTCTTCTTCCAGATTTTTAATTCCAGTGTCAGCTTCCGTTAAAGGAAACGATAACAAAGTTTTCGTATCATCAACGTATGATTCAAGATCACCATTGTAAGATGCACAGGGTAGATCGTTAAGGTATATACAAAAGAGCAATGGCGATAAAATGGCCCCTTGAGGTACACCATAAGTTATCGGTAATGGATCTGATAACGTAGAGTTAATACGGGTTGATTGGAAACGGTCTGTTAAGTAGCTTCTGAACAAGTTTACTGTTGATTTGGATGCTCCGACATTTGATAGTTTATGAAGTAGTCTCTGATGGTTTATACTGTCAAATGCTTTTGAGAGATCAAGCAACACTAAAGCTGAGAGTTTCTTTTTATCCATGGCCTTTAAGATGGTGTCAGTGATAAAAACGTTTAATGTCTCTGTCGAGTGAAGTTTTTTATTTCCACTTTGGTGGGAGGATAGTCGGTTGTTGCTTGTTAGGTAACAGCTAAATTGCTCAAGAGCTAATCTTTCACAGATTTTAGATGCGACTACAAGAAGGGAAACTGGTCGATTATTTGAGGGTACCTCGTGGTCACCTTCTTTATGAATAGGAATAAGTTCTGCCTTTTTCCATGCCAGAAGAAAAGTAGAAGTACGAAGGGAACAATTTATAATTTCCGTTAAAGGACCCAAAATGACCGGAAGACAGTCCTTTATGATCCGTGGGTTAATCTTATCCGGACCAGATGATTTATTGAGAGGTAACGATAAAACTACTCTACGTACTTCGTGGCAAGTTACGGCTCTAAACTTAAATTGGTCGATTTCAGTTATAACGACTGATTCGATTGATTCTCGTAGATTGATGTTGTTAGTATCTGCTAGATGAGAAGCCGCCCTTGCTGCATTTTCACCAACCGATGAAAAAAACTGATTGAAATCATTTGCAAGAGATTTATGGTCTCCTTTATAGATTTGTCTTTCTTTTCCTTTTGATGGTATAAGACGGTTTACTATTTTCCATAGAGCCCCCGGATTATCTTTATGTTGCCGTACTTCATTAGAGTTATACTCATTCTCCGCCTTCTTAAGATCTCTCTTCACATTATTCCGGTAGCTCTTATAATTTACCCAGTCTATAATATCCCGCGTACGTAGAAATCGTTGATGTAATCGATCTCTCTCTTTCATAAGGTTTCTGAGGTCTTGGGTAATAAATGGGCATGGTCGGTTACGGATCTTAATTGTTTTAATTGGAGCATGAACGTCTAGTGTAGACTGGATCGCATGGTTAAGAATGTTTAGTTTAGCATTTACATCGTCGCCGTCAAAAATAGATAGGAGACAATCTGATTTGTCCGCAAGATCAGCTGCAAAATAATTCGGTACATAATTTTTAAAGCTACGTGCTGTAATGTATTGCGAAGGTTGCTTAGGAGACTTAATCTTAAGTTCAGCGTACACAAGTAGATGGTCACTGATTGATGTAAGCAATACTCCACTTCGGTACACAATTGACTTCGACGACACTAGGATAACATCTAGCAATGATTGAGTTGCATCAGTGATCCTCGTTGGCGATTTAATAAGTTGAGTGAGGTTCATTTCATTTAAAAATCTATCCATAATTTTATATTCTACACAATTTTCCTTTAATCCATCACAATTTAGATCACCTAGGATCACGATTGGTTTGTTTAATACAAGAGCTTCCATGTAATTTGGTTTTAATGTATGTTCAAAGCAGTGCAGAGGACAGTCAGGTGGTCGGTAGGCTACACAAATTATGAGCGACTTAAATTTCTGGCACTGGACATTTATCCATAGTTGATGGAAATTTTCTTCGGAAATGAAAGTTAAGGATTTTAAAACAGATGATTTAAGTTCTTTGCGAACGTACGTGCATACACCACCGCCGCGTTTATTAAGACGATCCAATCTGAAAAGATTA